AAGAAAGCATTTCCTACCTGCGGGAGTTGCGTGACTGATAGGTGAAGTCACTACAAGGCCAGTGAGAAAGCCTGCTAGCTTCGCAGCCTCCATCACTGATCCAACCGGTGTTCCATCGGGCATTACACCGATAGCTCCATTATCGGTTTTGTGTCCCGTGGCAAGAGCAGTACCAGCGGCGCCAGAATCTGTCACGAGATTGTTGGCAGAGTGGGTTCGAGTGTTGCCGATGACAGTAACATCGATAGGTAGAGCATTGATTCGGGGAGCACGAGTGGTCGAGTTTCCATTGACCATGGACAGGTATGTGCGAAGCAGTGTCTGGGAGACAGGACCCATGCCATCGGGAACGATGAATATGAAGTTCTTCGGCTCGATCGCTGCGAGTGTGACTTGTCCCAACGAGAGGGCAGTCAAAATCGTAGAGGTACGCATGGTGGGCAACAGGCAGATGATGGTACTGCAACAGGGCGATGGAAAAAGATGGGGTGGATGAGTTCAAAACCTGACCTACAGTACAGCAGTCCAAGCTGATGCAGTTTATATACGGCAAGGTTGAACAAGCATGCATCCCACGACCCTGTGGGTACTCAGGTTAGTCCCTGAGTAGTCGCACATGCCTGTTCGCCAAATCTTGGACTCCGATGACTTGAGTCCAAACAAGTCCCATTTGAACGATACCTAACGATTGACCAAGTTCTCTCACATCTGGCAGAGCGTCCGGGTGTTCGGCTGCTCTTCGCTGAGGTTCTGTCAAGTCTTGAACCATCTTACAACACTGCGATATCACCAACACACACTTTGCAAATGTTGCGAAAGATACTACCGCTCAAGTTCTGAAATTTGATGTCAGGATCGCTCTAGAACCTCAACCACTCACAGCAATTGCCGCAATCACGTTCTGCACCTCCATGTACTATTATGCGCAGGCCCAGCCTTGGTACATCTCTTCGAGTGTGCGACGCTCTTTTGCCAAGTTTCTTGGAGACTTGGTGGGCGGCATGGCGGCCGGCGAACACCACAAGCGTGCCTCCTTCCGTATCCCACGTGTTGCTGTTAAGGGCGATGGACATCGCGTTCCGGGACACACGGATGATTGCCCTCCCTCAAAAGAATTTGCCTTCGTACAATATCTTTCTGGTGTGTCGACAGCGCGTCTTGCACTCCTGTCGTCATGCTTCCTGCTCACGGCTGATGGGGTTGTTGCCCGTGCCGATTCAGCCTACTCTTTATCCGAGCCACGACCTATGTACAGAAGACAGTGCGACCGCCATACAAACTAGGTCGTATACCTCCGCTCCTAATGTCGTATCCGTTAAGAAGTGCACTCCGGGAGTGCCACCGGAAAAACTCCATTCATCGTGCTTTCAGCAATGCGCATCGAGACACCAGTACCAGCACGCGTAAGGAGACTCTGGGATTCAGCGAGCAATCCCCCTATGCAGATGAGGAAGAGTGATCTTGCAATCGTTTATAAGTCCGGCAGTCTTCACCCCGAACTGCCATCAAAGCAGACCGACGCCGGTGGTTCGTGCGTCATTAGCGCCATACCCCGCAAACTATTGCCCACATGGGACCTCGGGAGGGGCGTCGTCGTCTTCTACTTTCTCATGTGTCTGATAGTCCGCACTTTTCATGCGCCACGACTCAAGCAGATGTGGAGGATAGTCCGGGGATCGTCAAGGTTTAGCAATTCGACACGACTAGGGTCCCTGGAAGTCGCTGAAAGAAGGTTCTGTCCGTCAACGCGTATTCGTGGAGTTTCTCGTACTCAAGACTAGGATACCAAGAGTCTAGGAGATGAGTTCATAAAGTATCGCTTCCGATGGGTGGTTATGTCTCCAAAGTATGAGTTAAGTATAGCTCCCGGCTTACAGTCGCAGTATATGTTCAAGGTATGTATTCCCATAGCATCCGTAGTTTATCTGTATCTCTTTCGTTACTTCCTCTTATTCCATCATGCGGTCATACCGCATCCCACTCTACGCGTGGAGTCTGTGGTCGACAGTCTCTGCCCAAGCCACCTCCAAAGCGCAGGCCCAAGCAGCACTAGAAAGCCTCGCGATCACAAACATTGACGATGTTCGTGGGAATCTTTATCTACCAAGCGTCTCCGAGAATCAGAACGTCACATGGATGAGCAACAAACCTTCCGTGATATCAGCAGACGGCGTTGTTCAGCGACAAAGTGCCGACACCGTAGTCGATCTTACAGCGATTATCGACAGCGATGGCACGACCTCGAATCGCACCTTCAGTGCGAATGTACGCCAGGCGGTCAAACTTGAAGCCTTTGAAGGTTATGCCTTTGCGTATTTTACGGGCAATTCGTTGGCGGGCGAGAAGATCTATCTCGCAGCCAGCGAAGGCAACAACGCTTTAGCTTGGAGAGAGCTCAACAATGGCCAACCTATTCTTTCCTCCACTGAAGGCACCAAGGGACTACGTGACCCCTTCGTCATACGTTCTCCAGAGGGTGATAGGTTCTTCCTGCTCGCTACCGACTTGTCGATTGGATCTGGTACTTCATGGGGAGATGCAGTTCGCAGAGGTAGCTTGTATCTGGAGATCTGGGAGTCAAGCGACCTCAAGACATGGTCTCAGCAACGGCACGTCAAGGTCTCCCCTTCCACTGCTGGAAACACATGGGCGCCAGAGGCATATTACGATACGGATCTTGGATCCTATGTAGTCTTTTGGGCGTCCTCTCTCTACGACGAGAGCGACACGGACCGCACGGGAGCGACATACCACCGTATGCTTTACGTGACTACTCGAGACTTCGTCACGTTCAGCGAGCCCGAGATCTGGCAGGATGCGGGCATGTCACGAATCGATACTACGGTCATAAAAGAGGCGGATACATTCTACCGGTTCACAAAAGACGAAGGCGGCACAGGCACAAACTGCTCCGACATCATCCAAGAGCGTTCTGACTCGCTCCTTGCTCCCGTACAGTCCTGGACTCAAGTTGCCGCGTGTATTGGTCGCAACGCCGGCACTAGCGCAGTCGAGGGACCGACAGTGTTCAAATCCAATCCAGGCGATGTCAATGGCGAAAAGTACTACCTTTTTGTGGATGAGTACGGTGGACGTGGATACATTCCACTAGAGACGGCAGATATCTCCAACCCTGACTGGAAGGTTTCCGCTTCATACAAATTGCCGACTAGCCCACGTCACGGCACTGTGGTTCCAGTAACGGCAAAAGAACTTGCTGGTTTGACTGCGGAGTCAAAACGCTCTGTCCTTGCCGAGACAGCGGGCAGCCCTGTCCTCCCTGGTTTATACGCGGATCCCAACATCGCGGTTTTCGGTGATAACTACTACATCTACGCGACAACGGATGGCTTCCCTGGCTGGGGCGGTAACGTCTTCTACGTCTGGAAGTCACCTGATCTAGTTTCATGGACCCGGTCAGCCGAGCCCTTCTTGACTCTCAATGGTACCAGCGGTAACGTGCCTTGGGCGAACGGAAATGCTTGGGCGCCGACCATCATCGAAAAGGACAGCAAGTATTTCTTCTACTTCAGCGGAAACAACCCGAAGTACGACCGCAAGACCATCGGCGTGGCTGTTGCAGACGCGCCGGAGGGACCCTTTACAGCACAGGCGGAAGCTATGATCCTTAACGAAGGCAATGTTACCACTGGCCAAGCCATTGATCCAGCCGTGTTTGAAGACCCGACTACTGGCAAATACTACATCTTCTGGGGCAACGGAGGCTCAGACATCACACCCGCGCTTTATGCTGAGCTCAGCGACGACATGCTCTCACTGAAGGCTGAAACAACGCGTTCCATTGGCGGTCTTCCTGACTTCCGCGAGGGCATCTTCATGAACTACCGCAAGGGCCTCTTCCACCTCACGTACTCTATCGATGACACTGGTTCAGAGAACTACAGAGTAGGGTACGCGACGTCTACAAGCGTTCATGGCCCGTGGACATACCACGGTCTTATACTGCAGAAAGATGCATCAAAGGGTATCCTCGCTACTGGTCACAGTTCCATCATCAACGTCCCGAACACCGACGATTGGTACATCTGCTACCACCGATTTGCCATCCCGAACGGCAACGGAACGAATAGAGAAGTCACCATCGATAGACTGTACTTTGATGATCAAGGCTTCATGAAGCCCGTTGTACCTACTCTAGAAAGTGTACCGGCACAGCCAATCTCTACGTAGATTTGGACTGCTTAGAATAGACTGATGTAAAAATACATTGATTCAATATACATGAAGACTTCGTAAACGACAGTGTGAATCGCGAACAATAGCAAGCTCCGACAATTCCACTCCGATACGCCGTGCCACTGATACCAAAACCTGGTCCACTATCCCGACTCCCTATTGTCCATACTCAGAACCCCAAGCCCCTCCTCCTACCGAAGCCCCTAGACAGACTCCTACTACTCTCCAAGCCCAAGCCCAAGCCCACTCCACCCAAGATCTTCATTCCCTTCTTGCGACCAATCAGCAACTCCTCTAGTATCAAGCTCACTTCCTCCATCTGCTCCTTGAACTCTTCCATCGCCTTTCCCAAGCACACACCCTCCTCCCACATGTCGCTGAGGTGGGCTTCGCTCAGGTCATCGGGCTTGATCGTTTCAAGCGGCTTGACGACGGCGGTGAGATGAGTAAGGTTGGCGGAGACGATAGCTGCGCGGCGGTTGAGGGCGCTGACGCGAGAGGGGAGGTCGATTGGAGTGTGGATGGCAGTGGGTATAGAGAGGTCTTCGTAGGAAGGGGCGGGGGTAAGCTCGGATTGGTAGAGGTAGCCGTGGTCCCAGGAGTAGTTCTGCTGGCGGCGTCGGAGGTGGCGCGAGGTAGAGTGTGGTGAACCAAACATTTTGTGATGATGGGTGCTCGGAATCTTTGCGATAGAACAGTGTATAGGATCGGGTTCAAACGCGAAGAGAAGAGACGGATGATCAAGCTCTAAATCGGTATCCCACGCGACAAGAGGTTTTTGATATACTCGCTTTCTGTCGCTATTATGAGAAAGGTGGAGCTACAGTGAGGATATCGGGAAGCTGCATAGCCGATGTTTGGGCTTGCTTGACCGCAATGCTTGTGAGACGATGGCTCAGCCATGTCAACTCTATGATTCCTGGAGTATCTACCCGAGTTAGAGGACGCGCTTGAGGAGTTTGGACTTGGCGATCAAGCTTGTTGGTATCACAGCAATCACGGATCTACGGCGCATTGCTAGAAACAACGTAGTCCAGGTGCTTACACGCGCCTACCCATGAAAAGCGATCCAGCAAACATCAGCATATTTTCATTGCCTGCTACTTTCCTGAAGCGGCTTCCTGCCGCGGGTACACCAACTTGATCATCACACAAGCAACGTTGAGCTTCTCGTGCCAAACCTTGAACTGCTCTTCCACCTCAGCACTATCATCAAGGAGCCCATCTATTGCATCTGTCATCTCCTGGCCTCTGGTATCGCCAATCGTGCTGTTAGCTATTTCGTTGAGCGTGTTGATCTTTGTCCTTATCGAGTTCAAAGTATCACCTAGAGCGTGAGAAGGTTCGAAAATCGACGGGAAGTTTTCGCGGATGGCGAACCGGATTTCTTCATGGGGCACTTGAGGAGCGGATGTGGCGTTGGAGTCCATGGTGACGATAGAAAGCTTAGCTAGGTATCTTTGTGCTTTGTCGTGACCGATGCAGATGGGCTGGGAAGTCGTGATATATGATCGCCATGAAATCCAGTGCCAGCCAACATCGCGAAGTCAGGCGAAGAGGTCATGGGTCGATTGTCATCGTATTCGAGTGGGTTTGGCCCGGTGGCCTCACGCAGTGGTACCGTCGTAGGTATAGCTAATAAGCATATTTTTCCGACATACATGATGTCTGTGTACATTAACGTCTCTTTCATGACAGCTTCCTTCGTCTTCGTTGTGCGTCTCTCATCCGGCTCGAGTCTACGCGGCCCTCGGTCTCTCCCACGCCTGGCCGTCGCTCATCTCGATGCCACCCGCCATACTCGTCTGTCCTAGCTTCTCCGCATTCCATCCCTCCTCAGGCGGTATCGGGCTTCTGATCTCCTTCTCCCGACCCAGACCTTCCACGCCAGGCGGCCCGTCGCCCCAAATCAAGTACTGCGCCGCAAGTCCCAAGTCGCAGCATGCCTGAAAGATACCACAAGCCTTAAAAGCCCAAGGTACCTCACCACTGCTGCTAGCGAAGAAGAACCACATCTTGAACGTATCACCGATGACCCAGTTTACGATGACACTAGGCCTGAACCCTTTGCACCCGCGTCTCTGGTAGTTAGCCAGGAGCTGGGGAATCGGAAGCGTAGCCTCGATTGTCAACGCAACCATGCCCAGCAGATCGGTGTACGGCACGAACACGCTCGTGGATGACATGAGCAAATGCAGCACCAACAGCACCCCAGTAAAGTATGTGATGAAGGTCCAATACGGCCTTGGCGCCCTCCACTGCCAGAAATCGTACGGTCGGTTCGAAACATCCTTGTGTTGGAAAGGGAGGTGCGAGGGCGGCGGTCGGTTCGTAAGCGCGACGTGGAGGAGGAGCAGATGGACGCAGATCATGAGCAGGGCTTGGACGAGCAGCGAGGTGCTGAAGTGGGCGCCGAACCAGTAGTAGACCTTCAGGATGCTGGCGACGAGCATGATGAGCGGAATGTCGAGGGAGAAGCCGGCGGAGCTGCGGGCTCGGTGCATGCTGTAGATTTGGTCGCCATAGCTGGTAATCGGACTCGTCGCGATACTGGGTGCTGTCTGTTAGAGACGGGGAGGCTAAGGAGGTGTAGAGTCGTACAAGACGGGTGCGATGTTCTTCACAATGGCGCTGATGAAGAACATGTTGGTGGTCGTGTGCTTGGCCCGGCGATTCGTCTCGGAACGTCGGAAGGCTGCCCTGAGACTCCTTTTACAACGCTGGAGTGTCCGACGACTATGGAAGGAACGCACACGCAACCACGGAACCGTTTTGGCGCAATCGGTCGGGGTGTGAGGCTCGAACGAAACGGCACCCGCGGACGAAAAGGGAGGAGGCGCAATCTCCCGCAGATCAGATCTGGCTTGCATTAGTGGCCGCTGTAGGGCTGATAAGCAGCTTAGCGCCTGCCGTCATGGCTGTTTACCCCAAGTGCGCTCACGAAGTCACGATTCCATTTGATTTCAAGATTGACAATACATGGATGCTTTCCACCTCTACCAGCATCAGTTCTCCAAACCTCAACACGCACAGAATTCCCCTCACCGTCAAACCACCAAGATGTCACATACCGCCTTCTTCTACGGCACCCTGATGGCACCGCCCGTCCTCCACCGCGTGATATGGGGCTCACAAACCCCTCCTACACCAGCGCATGCCTCGCTCCTGCACATACGTCCAGCAATCCTCCACGCACACCGACGACACAAAGTAAAGCAAGCAGACTACCCAGCCATCCTCCCAGTCGATACCTCCTCGTCTGTGCGCGGAACACTTGTAGAGGGCCTTACAGACGGCGACATCTGGCGACTGGACATCTTCGAAGGCTTAGAATACCAGCGTCGGAAAGTAAAAGTCAAGGTTTTGCAACCGAAAGATGACAACACCAGTACGGAAGAAGGCATGGGCGACCTATCGCAAAAGGAAGAAGATAATGTAGAAGGTGAAGAGGTCGAAGCGGAAACATACATCTGGACAGCGGGCGCGCACAGACTTGAGGCCGAGGAATGGGACTTTGCAGAGTTTGTTAGGGACAAGATGAAGCGGTGGGTGGGTAGAGAAGCAGCTGAGACCGATGAAGGGTTCCAGAGTAGGCCGCCAATCAACGGTAGACCTCCCGAGCGAGGGGGGCGTGGTTTCGAGGCTAACAAGATGCAGAAGTCGATGATGCAGTTGCAGCCCTCGATGACCCTACAGGCGGACGCGGCGCCAACGGGAGTATATCACGGCAACTGAAAGAAGGAGGTACGAAGGAGGACAAGATTCTCGAAAGTGCAGTATAAATATTGCTTGTTCATATGCTTGTACTACAGTATCATCTCTGGCACTCTGCCAGATGTGCACGCTGTCTGCGACATGCTATTCTCGGAGATCACAGCTGAGCTTTGCAGACCCCGTCACTAGTCCTGATAAATAACGCCTCCGTGAAACCAAGATAGGTATAGATGTGTTGAGTAGAAGTTCGAGCTGGTGCTCGCAGATCAACAAAGAACAAGCTTCGTCTCGAGCAGTTAAAGAAGGGTAGGATTGTCTCTTGACCATCCAGTTCCGACGGTTGTACTCCTCTCCTCAGGTTCTGGTGTTTCTTGAACCACGGATCCGTCGTTGACTCCATCAAGTTGCAAATCGTGAGTGGACTGTGAGATCCCTTCCATTGGATCAGATGTTTCCTCTCTACGCCCCAGCGACCCATCCGTGTTGCTGGGAGCAGGTGCTTCTGAACGCCGGGCCTTGTCCCTAGCATAGTCGTCTTCGTCCAGCTTCGTCTGGAGCGCACTATCAACGGGACTACCTTCGTGTTGACCATGTTTAGACGTCTTTGTGCTGCACGACAAACGGGGAATCTCTTCAAATGTAGGTGAAGGACGGAGCCCTTCGCTGGGACGTGCATAACGTGATGCGACTTTCCGCTGAGCAGTTGAAGCTGCCTGCACCTGCTGGCGATGGTTGTCGTTGATGACTTTGACTTCCTGTGAGTCCTTGATTTCAATAGGTACCTCGGGGACACTGCCTTCTCGACTGCGCGAAGCTATTTGCTCAATTTCCATATCGCTATCTTGATGTCGTTGGGGCGACTTGATGAACTGGCGCTTCGCTGTTGGCGATTTCATGTCCTCATTATCATCACCATGTCTTCGGCGCTTCTTGGGGCTTGATGTACTGGGTATCTGAGATGTTTGATCGTTTTCTTTGAATTGACGTGACGTTTTGTTCGATGTGATCTGTCCGTTGCATATAGACTCATGCGATTGAGGCGTTCTGCTGGAAATGCGGACTTCGGGACTGTGGCGCCTTGGTGTCGTTTCTAACCGTGGACTGCCAACGGCCTGCTTTGCAGGAAACGTGAGCACAGGCGGCGAGTCAGACACCTTGTTGACAGCTGTCTGAGGTGCTTGCTCGACAGCAGAAGTATGTTTCGCATCGAAACTGAACGGCGATGCAAGTCTGGGTGAAGGACGAGAAGGTGAATGGGTTCGTGGCGATTTAGGCTGCGCGCCTGCGTTGTTGGGCGAGGGTGTGGGCTTCGGTCCTTCACGGGGTAACTCATCAGAGTTGTGTCTGGCCAGCTCCGAAGCTTTGTACGTTGTCGGAGCTGGTGATGTCTTTGAGCTCGCAGATCCTTTCTTCGCCTTTCTCTGTGCTCTCCTATCATCTTCCTGCTTCTTGTAGCAATCAAATATGATCTGACGCATCTTGTGCCTCATTTCCGATGGATTCAGCTCCGGCCAGTCTTCTTGAGCCGACATTGATCCAGTCAGCAGCTTGTTCTTGAAGTCATCGGGATTTTGAAAGAATTTCTCGATGTAGCCAAGTAGGTAAACACCGCAGTCGGTGAAGTTGTTCTGCATTGGGACCTGTGTAGCCTTGGGGTAATAGCCGTTCTCTTTGATGACAGCCTCCATACCACGCCTGCTTGCACCCTCCGCTGCTATCCAGTCTTTAAGGGCGCGAACCGCTCCGGTGCGGGCATTACCACCAAGAGAATCGAGCACTATGATGACAGGCTGATCGGGATCTCTTTTGGCTACGGGTTTGCGTTTTGCCTTCTTTCTTACAGAAGACGCGATGAATTGAGATTGAGACAATATTCCTGGGTGTGTGTCCGTAGTTTCAGGTAAAGCTTCTGTATCTGGATTTTGGCATGTTGAAGCCGCTTGGGCCGTCTCTGACTTATGTGGGGTTTCGGTCCCAATATCGTCGCGGTCGATAAGGGAAAGTGCCGCCTCATCAAATAGCATTGGCTCTTCATCGTTCGTTTGGGCCACTGTTGCTTCTCCACTGATGGCACTTGGCTCTGGGGAGGTTGATTTCTGTACCGTAGTCACATGCGTCTCGGGGTTCGTGGCTGTTACGGCTGAATCGCTTGCTTGATCGTGTGGAATTGTCTGAGGCTCATCGAAATCTTGAACTATCGGTTTGCGTTGAACTCCCGACATATTGCAGATAATCGCCAGGTACCAATGGGCTCTATAGACTGTTAGCATAGGCTATCAAAGCGGTGGTAATTTGACGTACTGTTCGTTGATGGGAACAACTATGTAGTCGTAGCTGAAGATATCGATCTTAGACGTCCACCGTTGCACAGCCTTGTAGTCCATGGATTTGCGACCCGAGTTCTCGGTAAGCTTCGTGAAGAAGTAGGTGTTGAAGAAGTACACTTTATCAGCAGGCACTTTGAGCTGCTTAAAGAGGTAGCTGGAGAAAGTTAGCAGCATTGACGGCTAGGAAGACACGCACTCACATCATGTAGAAGTCGATCAGGCTGTCGTTCAAGAATTCTTCCTCGTCCAGGCGGGGCAGATCATCAAAGTGCACTATCGCCCGTTGACGACCTTCGCCAAATTCAAGAGACCTTGGGATGGTTAGCAAAATCATGCGCAGGTGCATAGACACTTACCTAGCCCAGGGTTGCCCAAGTCCAGTTTCGACAGAGAACTTGGGTACATCCGATTGTGTAGGCATGTCTTCGACGTAATTGATCGGAGCCGATCTTTTTGAACGTGACGGACGGGTCGATGCTCTGCTTGTCGTGGTAGTGCCAGATTCAGCATCAGTCACATGCTGATGGACAGCAGGCTTGAGCTGATCCAATAGAGGCCTCTTCGACGCTCCATTAGCTTTTTCGGGGTGAGGATCTTCTAAGCTCGCAGTTGAGTCGCCTACCAGTGCAGACGTACCAACCTTCTCGTTTCTCGTTGGGAGAGGTGTATTGAAAAGATGGACCATGTAATCATCCAACTTATTGATACACTTTCCGCCTGGCGTCAACGACACTGCGTGTTCATTACGGAAGACGAAGAAATCGGCAGTATCAGCAAACTCCAAGTCCAAGATGAATGTGTTCCCGTCATATCCGCGAGGGCCCATCAACCGCATGCGGCTTGTACCGTCCGCTTGTACTTGGTTGACGTCTTTAGGCTCTATGACAAGTTTGCTATCGTAGACGCCATCCACTGACTCCCAAGTCTGGACACGTAACCCCTCATCTTTCTTCCATCTTAAGAGCAACGTGGCATGGCCGTCCTTGGTTGTTGATCCGTGGCTCTGAAACCCATACGACCGTACAAACGAAAGTGGCCATAATTCTTCTACAAATCTTCCGCGAGCGTTTCGCTTGACTCCGCTATTTGCAGTCTGCTTTTGTTTTTGCTTCGGAGCAAGTTTGGTTCCCTGTTGCGGAGGCGTGATGGCAAGCTCGTCAGCGCTGTAGTTATCAGTCATAGGTCCCGCTTGCTTTGGCACCGGTCTGTGCTGGGTTCGAAGGTCCTCGTCTTCGACTATTACACGCCGGTTCTCTTCTGCGTGATCAGATGTTGACTCATTGATGCGCGCGTCGGGAAAGTAGCGAGACGTGACTATGTCGACTTTTCTTTCGGCTTCGTCGTGCTTCCTGGGACTTCGCTTCAATTCACCCTGTCGAAAAGTCTGCAAGATAGTCTGCCGAGGAGTATGTACACCAGGGCTGGTCGATAGAGAACCACCAGTAAGAGGAGAGCGTCGCGTGCCGCCTTTGGCTGTGTTGAAACCCGAGTTCCTTGGCTTCTTTTGGGACGGCCTAAGACGATTGTCCGCCTCTCTAAATTCGCTTGTAGCCTGAGGCGGCTTGTAATCGCCTACTGTGCTCTCGCTCCCGTTGCTCATCTGCGAATGCAGAGACCAGGCAGAACGCGGCCTTTCTCGTGACGTGCCAACAGGTGTGTTGTGATCATTTCGAGATACTTCCACCACTTCGTCGTCATCATCGACTAGTGAAATAACATTGTCGGTCCTCTTTCGTTTTCCAGGTGTAGCTCCACTCGACCATCGATCCTGGCTCTTTGAGGAAGAAGGACGACGAGCCGTTGTAGCAGGAACTCTGTCAGTTCGCTCAAGGTAGGCAGCCTGGCCCGGCCCACGAGACTGGCCTATCAGTGACGGCTGTGGTGACGGCTGTGGACGATCGCGCTTTCCGTACGTAAGAGGCTTCCGACCTGAGTTGGATCCTCCATGTAGCGTGTCTACGGGCTTGAAGACACTGCTCGACCCTGGCTTTTGGAGGTCAGTATAATATTAGAGGCACAGAAAGGTGGTGGTATGCATACTTTTGTAGTCATGGTGCGCTTCTTCGGTATCGCCATCCAAGTTGATGGGTCGGGCATACTAACAGCATCTGCAGGTCTCCTTCGCAAACATTAGTCTCTTTCTTCGGAATTCGTGTACAAAGGCGATTTACGAATAATCCCCAACTAATCGCTTCTCATCCTCGCTCCTTTGTGTGACGTGCTGCCGTGGGCGGGTTAATTCCGAACGCGCCTCTTTGCGTGGAGTTCGACTTGAAGATTTCGGGGGCGAAGAGAGGTCTATGAGGACGCGCGATCTCTTCCTGGGGGGCGGTGTCTCCTCGAGGAAAGGATTGGGAGGCAAGCCGGGACCCGAGGGCGACTGGGGGACGACATCGTCTGTCTGTGGCGACATGGCGTTAGCTGGAGGCGCAGACATTTCAGCATGAGAAAGCAGTGTAGTTGTCGGAGGGTCTGAGGCAGTCGAGCGGTCAAGCAAGGAAAAGGCGCGTACGTCTGAGTTGGTGAGTCCGAAAGAGCTTTCGGCAGCGGCTCGTATGCCGTTGAGTAAGTTAGTGAACATTGGTGTCGCATTGCGGTGGCAGAGCGCCGGGCATTCGCATCGTCTGGTAGGCTGGGCGACCTCGGAACTGCGTGAGGGAACTGCACAAGCGCAGACGCGCACCGTGGGGCATGCGGAGGTGAAGGTGCGCCAGAGAACGACCCGTTGGCGATACGTCCGTGCGCCTTGACGTAGGTGCTTCAGCGCGCTGCAGGGACGCGACGGCTCAGCTGCGACGTCGAACTCGAAGACAGATTGATGCGCCATGACAAAGGGCACGTCACATAAGCTCAAGTTGTGGACTTTTATGATAGGCATGTTCATAGTCACAAATCATGCGACATATTCTTCTTCGATTGCTCGCTCTGTAAACAGGCGGGCTTCAGGGCTTGGTGCTACCTGAGATCCTACGCTTCGCTATATAAAAATACAATGTACAGAAATGAGGCTAAGGCCTTATATGTGCTACGTGCAGCATGCACATGTAAGCCAACGATGGCCGGCCTTTTAGCGACGTCCCCAATCGAGCGCGCTCAACATTTCCAAGTTGTGACTGGTGTGACAACAGTATGGTGTATACCTTCACGGTATCTGTTTGTGGGTGCATCTCGCAGAAGCTAGCAGTCTCTCGTACAGGCGGTGCTCGGTCGAAAGCGCCGGAGATATTGAGAGCCAACCTGCAAACCACACCGGTACAACACGAAGCGGCCTTCGTTTCAGCCGCGTTGGGGCATATGGTGCGAATAACGGTCGCGTAAGCCAGCCGTCAAACGACCGCGGCGAATACATGAGTTGTATGGTTGGCTTTGCGATTGATCTGGGGTCGGCCTGGAGACCGTCGCTAGGCTGAGATTCTCCTAGGAACCAGCAGTTGGCTTCTCACGTGACTCATCTGTAGACACTACTCTGCGTTTTTCGTGCTGGCTCTTCTCATGGCGGGCTTGATCGATGGCCGATCTTTGGGCGATACTGTCGTCATGACTGCGCCACACTATGTTGGTCCCCTCTGGCAGTTTGAGGACCCGTCTTATTGTATCCCGGATCTTAACATTCTTCACACCATCGCTCTTAGTCCAGATGCTGAAGACATCTTCGCCGCTCCGGACACTCAAGACGAAGCCGCAAAACTCCTCCCCGGCATCCAGGAACTGATCTCCAACGAGTGCTAGTAGCAGGTCCTCCCAATAGCGGTCAGCCACGCCCTTTTTCAGGCGCATAATCCACTTGCCACCTCGCTTGTTCTCATCATCCTCCCATACCGGCCGGATGCCTTGCTTGAACACGTGGTAGTCGGAAACGGAGGGGAGACTCGAGGGACGCTTGAGATGGGAGAAGACCTTCCAGAACTCTTGCGCCGTACTGAATTTACAGAGGGGCACAATCGACTTCTCGTAATCTACGTTCTTGGCCGTGGGTGGGCGGTACCATACCGCCCATGTGTATTTGAGCGGCCATGGCGCATTGAAGTCCGGCGGCGCAGAGGGACTCGTTGTGCTGTCTGGTATTGAGGTCGTGGATATCGATTCTTTGCGTATGCTATTAACGACCTTGCTCACGGGCTTGTCCTTTTTATCAGAAGGTGTTGCGGGCGTGGGCGACGACATGGCGGCTGCTTTGAAGTCAAAAGCAGTGCCGGGCGTTTTGGGCGCTTTTCCCGCAGATCCAAAAGAAGCAAATGCGCCTGAGCCGAGCCCAAACGCAGAAGAGCCCCCAGTTGTGGGTGACGCCAAACCACCGGGTGTCAAGGGTGATATAGCGTTGAAAGGGTTTCGACCGCCGTGGGACGAGTCGCCACCGAAGCGTTTGGTAGCGGAGACGGTGCGTTGGTGCGGCTCGGATTTTTCGCTGTTGTTTTCCGAATGTGACATGGAGAGGGAGAGCTTGCTGGTGCTGTTGGCGGCCGTCAGTGGAGAGAACAAAGATGCGGGGACGCAGGAGCATACTTGGAGCGCCGAGTCCAGAGATTGTCCCTGTTATCCATTGGCAGCAGTGTCAAATGAGTATATAATACAATGCAAGAAGGTTAAATATCCAAGGCTTGGTGGGAGTAACGAGCGAACAAGCAGCAGAGGAGCTGGCGGGCTAGCGGCCAATGTGCGTCGAAGATATGCGGGGTGTAGTTTGTGATGGTGGATGTTTGCTGCGAGGAGGAAGTCTGTCACGCGTTGTTGGTATGATGTTACGGAAAGATGTGGCGAAGGCGGGGGTCTGTGATTGTCGAGCGTGGTGGGATATATCGTGTGCAATGGCGGATGGTGGTGCGTACTGAGAAAACGTTTGAGAGGTTGGCACTTGCAGCTCAGGCGCGCGCCTTCCGCGGCAGGGATGTGGCTTAGTCATCTACCGAGCTTGATATTCTCTTCGCCGGCGCGCCCGTCCTCTTCTCTTCTTCAACATCGGCCTTTGACTCGTATTATTTGCCAGCTCGACACATCCTACTCAGCTGGCAACTCGGATAACTGGCCCAGAACGAGCCATCCTCTTCTAAAACCATCATCACGAGGGCCGCTTCGGTGGCTTCCATGATGCGGTGATGACCTGAAAGCAGGGACATTATTTTGTCACGCGCGCGACGCGGTGAGACTGCAAGCTGTCTCAGTCTCTTCTGTATGTGTGCCGCCATGATTTTCTTCGTTCGCGACGCGGCTTGTGATGACTAGGTCCTTCGGACCACTTCTGGTAGTCTGAGTCTCAGCCAGATGTACACTATCGCAACTTTGCGATTTCTTGGTTGAGCTTGAAGCTCTAAGGCAAAGTCTGAAGCCTACAAGTGTGCCACGCGTGTATCAGATATCTCTGAAATATCCGCTAATTGATGGCTAAGCAGTACTATACAGCGCTTCTCAGGCGGTGAATTGGCTCTGAATACGCGCTAAGGTTGGGCACTGGTTCCTTTGTGGTCTCACCGTGTATCTCAGTACCTGATATCTCGCCGCCTTATATGTTTTCCGGTGCGAATAGCGTCAGGCGCGTCGCGTGTTGAAAAAGCTCTAACATTAGAACACGCTGAAGAGTCTTGGCGGACATTGGCTGCATCGCTTGACAGTCACCTCTCGTAGACGCTAGGTGCCGTAGAGCCGCTTGCTCTCTGAGACAGAATATGGGAGCATTAAAATGGTAGACTTCGTTCAGAGTGAGAGCACTATACAGAATAGACAAATGATTCTCTCATGCGTGCTTTGCCCACAGGCGGCTTGCAACCAGGTATCCCACATAGACCACAATGGGTGGACCTTTCCTTAATGCATCGAGACGTCTTGATAACCGCGGCAACCTCTGCATCTGCTATAATGACCGGGGTTATAGGCCGCACCTGCATGTGAATCAGAACGCGTGCGGGGTGGGATTGTGCTGGGGCCTACGTCATACTTCCGCCGTTCACAGGACAACGCACCCCACCACGCGCATTGCTTTCTAGCCGTCCTAAACTAACGCCGTCGCCTCATCTGTCGCCCACACCATACAAAGCCCGCTTCTCCCGCATCTCAGCATCCCACACCAACAGCTACTATCGCAAAGCCCCTCCCACATCGCCAACATGACTGGACAATCCCCCGAACTGCATTCGCCGAGCTCGCATCCTGAGCGACCTAAGGGTGGGACTCTTCCATACCCCGCCGCCTGGTGCACGCATGGCTAACAAAACCAGGTATCCTCAAAAACTCTAGCTCGTACCGCGCCGATTCCCAAACGTCCCCCACTAGCGAGCTTCCGCCGGCCGTAAGCCCCATATCGGAGCGGCCGCAGCTGGGTCGCGAATTGTCAGAGAAGGAAATTGTATTGGAAAACACGCTGCGCAATGCTGGCGCTCACCGAAGATCTTCGTCGAACCCGCGCGGCATCGGTTCACGACGGCAGTCGGGCATTGACCCCGCGGACGAGACTAGCCCGCAGCTCAAGTGGGACGAGGCCAACCTTTACCTGAACGAGCAGAACCGCGACAGCACCATGAAGATCGATGAGCCCAAGACACCATACGCCAAGCAGTACGATCCCGCCGAGGACGAAGAGGAGGTCGAAATGCTCAACGCCGAAGAGCTCAAGGTGGACGAGCTGGACAAGCCAAAGCGGAAACCTAAGATCGAAGATATACCTGAGTTTGATTTGGGACAGCCGGAGCTGCAGGCACGACACTCGCAGACGCCCGAGAGCGAGAAGAGGGTCATGGTCGAAGAGGGCATGGATACAGATGAAGGCTACCACGGCGAGCTCCTCCCCAACGCCACCCAGGAGGAGAGGGAGAAGCACCGCAAGTTTGAGGAGTTGCGCAAGAAGCACTACGAAATGAAGAACGTCAAGGACCTGCTTGGTCACCCAGAAGATGACGAAGATGAGGAAATGCCGACACGACCCAATGCTTAGTAGATGCATCTTTCTGTGCTATGGGCGCTGCAGTAGCAGCCAAGGTCGATCCCGAGAGTACGTAGGAAGCTCGCCCAGTGGCGTTGCACGAATTGATTTTGGCGGCATCAAGGTGGAGTTTTCGGATTTCCGGCGCTATGGTCGAGGCCGCGGAGTACTTGAAATACTTCAATTCGTAGTCTGTTCAATGAAGGACGTTCTGATTCAATCATCTTTGTAGGAATCTGATTCGTATTGTAAAACATAAAACTCAGTCGTGATCCTGTATTCGATATGATATCCAACTCTAACAACACTTTATGCCCTGAACTCTTTGTCAACACTCTCGAAGTTCTCCAAGAAACTCTGGAAAGTGAAGACACCCAGACCAGGATCCAAGCTTCCGGTCGTCGCCCTGATAGAATGCATACTCAGCTGCGGGATGCCGCAATCAATCGACCTGATACCCGTTGCAGAGCTCAGCATTGGTCCAACAGTGCCTCCACTCCTGCTATCATTTCGAATTTGGAACACCTGAAGCTTAGGGTCGACCTTGCGCATGCCGACATCGCGATCAACACAGCGCTGCAAAATAGCAGTGGAGACAGCGTCAGTCGTCATGTGGGCATTTGAGTCCGCAGAGACAGCAGGACCGATGTTGAGACGTGGAGAGTGGTTCTCGAGATACGCGTTGAGGAAGTTGGGATTCACGGCGTGAATCACGTCGCTGGAGACGAGGAAAGAGTTTGCATATGTTCTGTTCAAAGCGCTGCTTGTCTTTCCGTTCGACGCAAACTCTTCGGCGATGCGCTCCATGACGATTGGGAGGAAGTTGCCATGAGCACCTTGTCGGAGTAGCGAGCCGACCTCTTCGTCGTCGAAGAGGGCAACCATGCGGATCTGGGACGAGGTTGAGAGGGACGAGCTCGAGTTGAGGAGAGCTTGAATCGCAGCCCAAGAGCAGAGCTTGTCGTCAATCCGGCCGGCGAAGATGAACTCTCGGTCGAGGCCACCAGTCTGGGCGGGTTGCGTATCGAAGAGCTCGAGCTCCCAATTGACAATGGACGAATCTGTTACAAGTCAGCATCTTCATAGACATGAGAGTGTAGTGCACATACAGTCCGTGATGCCGAGTTCGCTTGAGATGGCTTTCACGAGCCTCTCCGGCTGAGTAGCAGTAAAGGCGCCCTCTCCACCCAGCACACTGGCTTTCCAGTTCTCTTCCCCATGGTCCGACGAACTGCCAATATCGCTGTTGTCCAGACCAATTATAGGCACCATCTGCGTCTCTTTGTTGAACGGGCCGTTGGCGGCAGCACCAAAATGAGGTGCTAGTGTTGGGATCCTTGCAATAGGCCAGTCCAGCTTGACAAGCTTCGTGACTATCTTTCCATTCTCCTTGACGAGTACCCGTCCACCAATACCAAGGTCGCGGTCCCACCACGTGTCGCTCAGTGCACCAGCGTATGGGGCCACACCGAGCTGTACATAGCCTGATTTGGTGCGAAGGTTCGAGATGGGCTTCAACTTCGCTGTAAGCGCATCAATGTGTCCAGCAAGAATCGCAGCTCCATTGCCCGACGCGTAATTGTCACCAATAGCGAAGGCGATGAGCGAGCTACCGTTGCGTTCAACGTAGTATTTGCCGCCAGCCTTCAGCTCCCACGCATCGCGCTCAGACAGCTTCTTGTAGCCATCCTTCTCAAGGTCCTGTGCGACGGCATCGACAGCGTGGAAGATCGTAGGATTGCTCGTCATGTAGTCGGTGAAGGGCTTCGTGTAGCGTGCCGGATCTTCCTTTGAGCGAGCAGGCACCGGAATCCAACAATGAGAGGGCGTCGGCTTGGGCATCGTGACGTCCTCTTTTGCTTGCTCGTCTGGAATCTCTAGTATCTTCGGTGGTACAGGGGGAGGGTTTTGGTAGCTCGAAGGCGGCGCGTAGTCTTCGTCTTCAACATCGATGAGGTTGGGATACGTCGCGGCGATGCTGTGCCGGTTATGGACAGCTTCGCGGCTCCTCCATCCTCTCTCTGTCACTCGATCCTGCCGATGACGCTGAGGCAGCGATGCCGTTGTGTGAGCGCGTCCAAGTGTCGTGGAGTACGAATGCCGTAGCGGGCGGGGCGGTGACGGATCCGCGTAGAGGTCCGCGTTCGAAGCGGCCTTGCGAAGGCTAGGGTGATTTCTCGTCATTTCGGAAGTTTCGCACAATGCTGATGAAGCTCGAGACGGAGCGAGAGAGGCGAAAGAGTCGATGGCAGGGGGCGAGGCTGTGTTGTTGTAGTACAGCTGGAGTTCCAAGGTTACCACCTGAGCAGCGCCACAGATGGGGCGAAGCTATCCGAAAGTGGAAAGCTCCGGACGACTCGCCGCAGCTATGAAACGCCATCAGCCAAATCAATAGGTTGAACCATCACAAACATGGGAGCCACTATCGCATCGAGCGCTTTCAAGAGTTGTGTCAATTGTTGGACCAGCTGAGTCGCGAAAGTACCTAGGTATGGCACACAAGGAGGTACAATCAACGATTAGGTACCTAGGTACCCCGAGCCCATTCCGGTAGAGACGATAGGGCCTATGTGACCATGTAGATACTTCTACACCACTCGACTCGTGTTGACTGCTACTGTTCATCCCCATATCACCACCAACTTGGCCCAATACAACTCCTCTTTTGCTTCTTCCGGTGTGTCATTTATAGCTTGTCCACATCCTTCTGCCACTTACTGAACTACCACCATGATGGAATCCACGGTTTCATTACAATCGCTCCAGTTTGGGTGGGCAGAAGAATGATCTGTGCCTATCCATGCGGTGAACAGTCTCGCATTGCTTTGGTCGTGCTCACCAGCATAGCAATCATCATCGTCGTATATGTTAGGTTTCTTTACTATTGCCTCAGTACCAAGCGATAATCATGACCTTGATTGTAATAAAAGTCAATTTTGGCTAGTTCCTGCATAGTAAAGAACCCCGCGACGGCGATGTATGTATGAGGATAAGGCCTTACGTCAGAACTCAGACGGGTTAGCTGGGGCTGTGGCTACCTAGGTATGCTACGCTTTGTAGAGAGTGGGGAGGTGCCAAGGTCGACAATGTGATGATGTATAGCCAGTGTATGAGCGGTGGAAATCAGCTGGTCTAGGGTGCAATAAGGAAGCAGTTGGAAATCGAAGGTACGTTATGCGTACGAGGGCGTTGAAGGGCGCTCAAAGGGCTGAAATGGATGTTGCTACGCCTTGTACGACCTGACTGCGCCACACTAAAAAGACAGCATGTTAGAAAGGCTTTCCGCCCTCTGCTTCTTCTTTCCAAACCATTACCATTTTGCCAGCTGAATTCATCTGCCAAGCCCGCGATGTTCATTTCTCTAATCGCAACTGCAAAAGATACTCACATTCAAAATTTATTTTCCATATCACTCAAGCAATGGCAGGATTTACTGATAACAACGAAGATGACTTCAACACACAAATGCTTGCCGCTATCGAGTCCAACGACCTCGCTACCCTACATGATGTGATCTCGAAACGCGAGGCTGAAGGTCCTGATGCTTTGCGCCAGGGTAACGGATTGAGCGATGCCCTCAACGAAGCATTGGAGCTGGCCCGGTACAACATGGCCGAAGAACTTTTCAAGCGTGGTGCTAGGTGCACTGATTGCACCATCGGATATGTTCTGGATGGGGCACGTGGGGAGAATGAGTGGAACACGAAAGCCATCGACGTGGCGCTGGCGTACGGTTGGAATATCAACGAGCCCTATGAGCATGTTGGCAGCGCTCTTGTGTAAGCCTTCGCTACCCTTCTGGAGACCATTCGACTCGCAGAGATAACTGACAGGTAAACAGATCCATCGTCAGTCACGCGGAGACAGGCCCAGGATATCCCGATGGCGAAACAGCCTGCCTAAAGATTGCTGCGCATCTATTGTTAAAAGGCGCCCATGTGGACGAGAGCACCCGGACGAACGAGAACCCGCTCGAAATAGCATGTGGGAAAGATGACAGGCATATGGCAGCGCTATTGTTGGCACATGACGCATCGCTAGAAAAGGCGCCCAAGGCACTCCTCAATGCTGCCAGTGCAGGCAGCATTGACATCATGCAGCAGCTTCTGGATCGAGGCGCTGATGTCAATGCACACCCATACGGAAGGCTCGAGATAATCCCTGCGCAACTAGAGGACGAAGGTTGGGGCTCTGCGCTGCATTGTGCCGTTAAAAAGCATCATACCGAGGCAGTCTCATTTCTCTTAGAGAAAGGCGCGGCCAAGGAGTACAGGAACATGGTGGGGTTGACGGCTTTGGATCTTGCTCGCAAATTGGGGCATGAGGATATTGTGCGGTTGTTAGAGTAGAGTGATGACCACATATACAATCATCTACCCTGAACAGCAGCATTTCTTCTTTGAAAATTCTGTTACTGAACCAGTATGAGGGATGCTGGATTCTGGGCTGGTACCGTGACAAAGTGGAACGTGCCAAATTTCCATGTTGTCGAAGAAAGTCCTGAGACATGTTCGTCAATGCCGTTGCGATTGAAACACCGAGGGTGAGAACGCGTAGGAAACTAGGGAGAAGAACTACGACGTCCATGAAGCTGCGTAGCTATATGGGGTCTAAGTGTTTGGTAGTGTTGCCACGTTCAGGCGATCGCAACGATTTCTAAAGCGATCAACGCGACGATAGTCGTTCAATCTCGAGCACACTTCACCGATCACAAGTTCATCTCCTCCCACTCTCCTCCCTGTGGAAAGCCCAAGTGAAATCTCCCGCATTTCGCAAAACTGAACACTGCTTCTTCCGCCATCGTGAAGTCTACGACCTTCCCTCCTGCCTCCTCATTTGCGTCCAGAAAATGTGCATGGATCCGTGGGCCGCTGATAGCCTTCATCCAGGCTGGCACCACGAAGCCGAACACCGTACCGTCGATTGCATTTCTACTGGGACCATCTTCGAATTCTATTGAATCGAAACGACCAGCGATCTTAAAGGGCATAAGAGTATTCACACCCTTCGCTGGACCCACGTCATCTGATGAGACGAGCTCATCAAGGGCTTCCAACGACATCGACCCGATCTTCAGACGGAATGTTGGCTGGTACACTGTGACTAATGCGAGAGGAAGGCGTGCATTCATGGGTGCTGACTTTGCTTTTCCATCCTTGGTAAGTGTGTACGCTTGTCTGTCTTTCAAGATCATGAGACTGCCATCTTCGTAAACACCAATGCCATCTGTGCCGTGGGAAGTAAGGTCTGCGGTTCGGGGTTGGCCTTGATTGAATCCGGCGTTGAGAGCTGCGTAGGTGGAGAATTGGAATATATCGTTTGGTATTGAGCCAACCATGATGGGTAGTACTGTAAAAGTATGTGATTCTGGTGATGGTATGTGGTATTTGATCTGTTGGAGTTCGAGGTTGGGTAGGTAGGTAAGGGTCCGGGCTTAGCGGAGAGCCGATCTCCGACTCGGCTACCATATCAGCCCTGCGGTGTGTGGGCGTCATCCCTAGGCGTTCTCTTCTACACGCCTTGTTCTGTTGTACAGATGGTGATATCAACTGAACTCACTGATGCGCTTTGCGAAGCGGTACTTGGCCAATCTTGACCCTTCAGCGTTTCTACTCCATGTCGCCTTCTCGGCCCAGACGATGGAAGGCCCGCATGATACGTCTTTCTGTTTGCGACTCTTGTGTCTTCGAGCTTCGATATCCATTGGGATCGGCCGTACTAGGTACCTGGAAGCGTCGAAATCGTTGATACCAGGCGCAGGAGAATGCAATACGTACCGTACGGCTGTATCTCTTCCTGAGAGTCGGTTGATAATGTGTTGGTCATGTCTTCACAGGCCGAGTTAGTAGTTTATCACAACGATTCCACTAGTCTCGAGGTCTGAGTTTAGTACGATCTTTTGGAAATGTTCTTGGAATCACCTTGCTTGAGGGTTGAGTGTGAAGGGAAGCAAGCCAATAACACGATCGCTTATGTAAGTGAGTTAGCGCGAACCGTCGGAAGCTCAACTTCACCATCCAAACGGCATCTTTCCCAAGCAATTGCGCAGCCCGTCTGCTCCGATACCTCGCCAGATATGCTCCCAACGGCCCTTCGCGCCCTGCGCTCTCGCAGCGCAGCGGCTACCTCCCGCTCCTTCGTCCGCTACACCTCCACCGCGACGACCAGCAACCAGGTCCCCGCCAACGACCCCGTCAAGCGCGATGCGAAGCCGAATGTTTCCGAGACCAATGCGATGCCTACGTCTTCCGAGGGCTCGTTCGACAAGGTCTTGCAGGAGTCTCCAGAGACAGCCGAGAAGTTGAGGGTTGAACAGGCGCCGAACTACAAGGGCATTTGGTCGCGGAGTCAAAACCCGAGGGAGGTTGCAATGAGTGGGCCAAGATTTGAGCAGAGCATTATGGAGGATCAGGTATGTCGAAATCCCCTGGAGCGGACATTATAGAAGGACGGAAGCAACCGCGGAAGAAAGGGTTGGTTTATGCAGGGGAGATTCATATGCTGACATAGAATCGTACAGCCTCGCCCATACGCTGCGATCGAGCTCATCCACAAGCAGCCCGTTCGCTGGACGCACGACCGTACTGTATCCTGTGACGGAGGCGGTGGCCCTCTCGGACACCCAAGGATCTTCATCAACGTAGATAAGCCCCAGATCTGCTGGTGCACATACTGTGGACTTCCATTCGTAAGTCTCCACCTAGAATATGTCCACTTCAGCTTTGCGATACTGGAGCTGGTCGTGTCAGTAGAATACCGCTAATTACCTCCATAGGCACACGAGAAACACCGACCGCTCCTCGAAGCCACCCCTGAACACGAGCTATCATACCCCCTTGGACCCAAGGGCGACGCGGCGGAAGTCAACGAAACGCAGAAGGTTACGGATGAGCCGCTTGCACAGCGATAGAGCGAGGTAGCCAGAAGAGCGGTTGGGGCTGGTGTACATATGCATTGCAATCGAGACATTGACAAACTATCGTCTACCATGGTATTGAGGTTGCGGCCTTTCCCAGTTTTCAAGAGCGATGCAACCCATACGCATCGAACTTTACAGACTCTGAAATCGAGCTCCGCTCTGATACCATCATGCGAGAGCAAAGTGCATTCTCTGGATATATGGCTCTTGCGACTCAAGTCGAGCCATGTCCTACTTGACAGCGTCGAGTGATCATGCTACATCG